CTCCTAATTAGGAAAAAAAAAAGTCGAACATGCCCACGCTTTTAATGCCCTAGGTAAAACAAGCACCCTCCGAGACCTACCGGACCCCGCTTTCATCCGCACACGACGCATGTTAACAATAAGTGTTGCCGGCATGAACAAACACATTACGAACCAAGTGTACCCGGACACATCTGGTCATAACGCTCCACACCGACACCCACAAAACATGTCAGCGAGAATCAACATGTCACACATCACACCCCCCACCTCTCCCCGGGATGCGCCGACACCCTAGCACTAACACCCAAAACACGTTGTTCCAGCGCCCTCCATCCTCTACATTGAGGTACCTCCCTCCCGCGCCCCTCCCTCCCGCGCCGCTATCCTCCCTTTCACGCGTCTCGTCATCCCGTGGAAACTAGCCTACTTCTGCCGCCATCCGCTCATGTAGCCCCTAACCCCCCCCCGCCCTTTTCGTGTACCCACCACGGCCAGAATCGCATCCCTGTGCGCCCCCCCCCCCCCCCCTTCCCCCCCGCCGCGCCTCTCGCCCGCTTGTAGTAGCGACCTTCCCCCCCATCCGCCTCCATCCGCCCCTATGTAGACCCGTCCCCACTTCCCGCTTGTGCGCACGCGACGCGATGCGAGCTGGATACGTGCTTACGAATTCCTCCGACGGTTGTAGTCCGGCCTCCACTGCTTCTTCAACTCCAGGGCCGTGCGGATAGCCGCTCGGGCCGGGGTCTCACCGCTCCTCGAAGGAGCCGGTTGCTCCGTTTGCCAGCCAGCCGGCAAGGTGCGCTGCATAGCACAGAGCGCCAGCCGGTTGCGCCCGCTGCGGGAGTCCTCCTCTGCAAGCTGGATCGGCGCTACCTTCTCGTCTTGCAGGAAGTTGTGCAGATGAAAAGAGCCGTGATGAGATTCGCGCGTCCTCCGAACTGCACACGGAGAGGTCGCCACAGAATGCCGCAAGTCGAAACCAGGATGCCGAAGCTCTGCTCGATCTTGACACGAAGCTGGCTCAGGTGGAAGTTGAACGAGTCCTCACCCGGCGGCAGGAGCCTCCCAGGGTACGGCGTCAGAAGCTATTCTCCGATGGGGTAGGCGGCGTCACCAATGATGTGAAATCCGGCGGGCAAGCGGGCGACGGCCTTGGCGAGGGAAGATCGATTCCATGCCACCCAGTCGTTCGTGGAGCCTGGAGAGATCGCCGACATTGCGCAGAGCCGGTAGTCGGCGGTGCACATCGCTGGTACGTTGATGCCGTACGCGGACTTGCTGCCGGAGTAGTACGCGATGACGTTGGCGGTGTCCTTCGCACACGGAGCCTTGGCCTTGATGAACAGACCATCCACGGCGGTGACGACCCAGGAGAAAATGCCATCGGTGCCCTTCTCCTGCATTTGTAGACGGCAGACACGAGGGCGGGAAAGTAGCAGTGCCAGGAAGGGGAAAAAAAATGGTCGAGAGATGGACGTTGACGAACTTCGGTAAATTGCGTTCGGCTGTACGTTGTGTGGGTTGATGTCGTGTGCGACGGCGCCATCATCAGCAACGGTGCACATACCGTGTTTGCTAATCCTAATATTGCGTCAGGTTCAGCGGTAAAAATGTACCAGGGTATCTCAGAGTCACGTGGTTGACTACAAGCAGTTGCCGGGCCACTGTTGCGGGGCGGAACCAACACGGCCAGCATACACTAATGATGACACAAAAAAAAACATTTATTTGTGAAAAGGCCATTTGTACAAAGACCAACAGCTGGCGAACCACCCGGGACCCGGGGGTTGTTTTTCGATTAAAGGCATGCTGACCAATCCGAACTTGTATCCGCCGGGAACGACATTTTTTTTCCTGCGTTACCGTCGAAGGCTGTATATAGGCCTCCCTACACTAAAACGGCTGGAAACGCCAGACGTAATTAAAAAAAAACGACATCCCGCGGCTGGTCAAGAGAATGCCGCCAAGATCAACCCACAGCAGCAGTAATGACCACCGTTAGGCCTCACCTTGAATCTGTTGGCATTTCGCGTGCAGCCTTCCTCGGTCAGGGGGAAGTCGAATGCACCAACCGCAGGCGTCTTGTTGATGGCGTCGATCACCGACAAGCCAAACATGGGGGCAACATGCCAGTAACTAGCGCCAGCCAGGATCCTCAACGCCACGGCAACGCGGACTTCTACAGCTATGGTGCCGTTGATTGGCGATCGCAGTGCTGTGGGGTTTCGGAGCGACGCGCAGATAATGTTCGAAGGATGAGCGAGCGTGTGTCGTCCAGGAAATATGTACCAGTGTCATAGGGGGTGTGTTTGCAATCGCCAGCGTCAAAGGACGTATGTCATCGTCAAACTCGCCAGAGTACCGGCCCAATACACTTCCCGACTAGGGCTGTGAGACGGCTCTGTGTTCTTCACGGAACACACAACTAACCTCGCATATGCATTTAAGGAGCACGTGTCGACTCTTGTATGCTATCATTGAGGGATACGACAACCTGTGTTGGCTCCCGACGAGGCATGTATAACGTGTAGTGGTGCCGGCGTGTTGCACGCTCTATTTATACTGCTGAACTTATTTCAGCGCCACCATAGTAGTATCTTCCTGTCGTTCCCATACAACGACTCCTGCTGTATGCATATGCAGACACTGCTGTCCCTACTGCTGTAGAATAAGTGCTGCTGCGTGTATGCATACCCTGGCTGCATGTTTCGAAGAGAGTTTTTTTTTGAAGAAGCAGACAAACAGCAAGGCAGTCTACAGCAGTAGTGTTTCCCCTGGGTTTTAGACTTGCTCTTCCCCGTTGTTCTCTACGTATACATGGGAGGAAGCCTTACGCATACCTGCCGTGGGCGGCTGCATGTACATATCAACACTCACCGCCGAAGAAGGCGTTGACTGCCAGCGAAGGGCGGAGTAGCTCGACAAGCTTGCGGAAGCTGGACTTCTCCATGCAGTACGACCGCCGCCAGCCTTGCCGTTTATCGAGGTCCGCCTCGTCGTGTTGGGCCCACGGAAGCCGCTTGGGCTCGTAGATGGGCTCCCGTTCCTGAGGGCAGTGGGCACGATGAGCTTCTCCTGCTGCCACCACGCCCGCCGCCACTACAGAAGACCCAGGACTGTGAGAGATCTCCTGTGTTCCTGGGCTGCACCGACCTCGTCGATAGCTCCTCGACGGCGTTTCTCCCGACGTTGCGCTGCGGGCCCCTGGGGATGCTGGCGCTTCCGGCGCTCAGCCATGGTAGTGGAGTTGCCTCGGGAAGCGGTTTGGGGTGTTGGTGGTGCTGTCTAGGTGTGGTGTGATGACTGCTCCGGTCGTCGAAAAAAGCGGGAAATTTTTCACCGAACAGTAAAAGGAGCAAGCCCAGAAAAAATACGCTTCGCTCTTTTGACGGAACGTTGAGGAACGCCTCCATATATTTCAAGAAAGTACGGTTTCGTAACCGAATACGTATTTTTTCGGCCTGATAATAACACCCCTAATGTGAAGAAAAACAACAACAACAACAACAACAACAACAACAACAACAACAACAATAGCATGTCTTTCAATGTGAGAAGGGCACGGGAGAAAATTATCTCATCATTGCCTCCTGACGTGGCCGCCGATAGAGGCGTGTGGTTGGGGTTTCATCACCGACATTTTTTTTTTTCTTCCATCATTGGACTCTGTCGTCTGCTCCTTTGGCCCCTACCCTCCACTCCTTCTACTAGCTAGACGACCCAACCGGGGTCACATAGGACTGACATGTATGTGGGTGTGTGTTCAATGCAGTGGGTATGGTCGCCTCTCTCGCCCGTGTGTCGGGAGAAAGTATAGCTACCTTTCCCATTTATTTGTAGGCAGCGCGGACCGTAAGTCAAGACAGAGTGTATCATTTCGTGCATCTATCTACATCATCTGTATGTTGTTATTGTTGTTGTTGTCTTCACATTAAAGACCGTTCCGATCTCTCTCTACCCAGTACCTTCGTATGTCCGTACTCATCCAACACTCGACGCGGTCGATTCCCGTGGTCGCAGGCTAACTTTTCGAGTTCTGGCCTCGGTACGGCAAGCCCAATTTCCAGCCGGTTTCCCTCCACTCACTGAAATCAGTACATTCCTTTCGACTGTGGTTTTATCTCGAACGGGTAGAGTCTGTGAGACCATATGTTGTAAACTTAATGTACTTGCTCTTATCCACATACATACGACCACCGGCCTGCCAGCGCATCCCGTCATCATGGCGTAGTTGATCGTCCAAGGTGGAGCTTGTTCATTCGTGGCAGCTCGCGACCAGGCCTGACGTTCAAAGAGGGTGCTGCTTTAGAAGACTACTTGTAAGCACACAGTGTCCACCTTCTGAAAGCATTCGTTCCGTTCGCCCCAGTCAACTACGCAAATACATCAAGATGACCGCAAATGTATGTATGCCGAGCGTCAAAATATTCACAGAAAGTAAACATATAATATATATATATATATATTTTTGCCTTCCGACAATTAATTGCAGATGTACCTCAGAAAACTTTCACTTAATGTCTCATACTCTACATGAATATTAAACCAATACGAAGTACAACAACATATGTAGGACTTATTTCTACTGTCATTTACATCGTAAAAATATCTCCTCTTCAACTTGAAATAAAACCAATGACAATCCTGATGGTATCCTATATGCGTTCGTAAGCTTGCTAAAATACTACTGCGTTGATGTCCTCTTGTAAAAGCTGAAATCCAACAAATGCTTTGATCCATGCTACATCTCCGTGTTGGAAAAGCCCTTTCATCTCCGTTCGTGATAACATCTTACTTACCCTATTATACGCAAATCTGTTTGTTTCATGCCGTCGAACCACACGGCTAATTTGTCAACCGCGACAACACCGAATCAACACCCTTATCTTGGCGTTCAAACACCCAAAAATACATACCAGTCTGTCTGTGAATGCCACCTCAGACTGTCGTAGATTGTGACGTCAGATGACCTGTCGGAGATCTACCTTCGGGGTGTTACCACAGATAGAGTCATTGCAGGTTGGACGCTGAACCTTGCTTCAACACAAGGTTGATCCCCACCTGCCTCACACACACACTCGACTCAACGTTCCGTACATCAGCCTCTCCACCAGAGGTTGATCCGGTGTGTATCCACACCGCCCATCCCTAAGGGAACTTGCTCACACGCGAACCTGGAGACAACAGTCTCATAGTGGCGTCAGCGGCGTTACGTGTGTTTGTTGAGTTCTTTGTGCGGTGGTGGCACTACCTTGCAGCAGTTGCCATCATGGGGAACAGGAAAAAATCGAGAAAAAACAAGAGGTCCACTTCCAGGAAGGGGAGGGGGACCAACAGCAGCTCGTCGACTTCGAGCCCGAAGGGGAGGACGAAGAACAACACGTCCTAGCGTCCCCCACCGGCCCGTCGTCGCCGTCTCCATCGTCGTCGTCGTCCTCTTTGTCGGAAGACGAAGGGAATCGGTCGCACCGTTCATCGGATGATGATGATGGTGTTGATCGATTGTCGTCCTTGCAGTTGCTGGAGGCAACGTGCAGGGAGGAGGTGAAGGCTTACCTCCGAGCGTTGCGGCACAAGCGGACTCCTCCGGAGCTGTCGCCAGCTACCATCGCGTGGCAGCAGTGTCTCCTGACGGAGTCGGTGCCCGCCTCATCGTCTGTCGCAACAGCGTGAGATACGTCGTCTCGTGGAGCCTCGTCTCGTGGATTCATTGCAACTGCACCGACATCGGTAAGTTCGAGCGTTCCGTTTTTAGCTCCGTCGTTGCCCAGGCGGACACCGTTGTCCCCTGGAGCACCATCGTTCGTTCCGTCCGCGCAGGCAACGAGTGGATCAAATCCCTCGCCGAGTCCGTCGCTCACTGCGCC